TCTCTCTCTCTCTCTCTCTCTCTCTCTCTCTCTCTCTCTCTCTCTCTCTCTCTCTCTCTCTCTCGTATCGGTTGCTAGCGAATCCATGCCTGAGCTCACCCACTCTCTCGGGCTTGGTTGTTCCGTGCTTCTGCTCGTGGCGGCGTGTTTCTGTGTGTTTTCCGCTCTTTCTTCTCTTTTGTTGTTTGTTTGGTTTCTATGCAGGCGTACGAGTACGACACCGGAAATGACGAGGACGACAAGCTCACCCGTCAGCTGATCAACGAGCTAGTGAGTCGACGCTCTCTGTGTGCTGCTCCCGCAGACTACGCATAATCTTCTTCGTTTCTTGCTCAAGCAGTATCTCTTGCTGTTCCGTAGTACGTACGCCAGCACTCTCCTGTGTGTTTTGCTGGTTCGGCACCCCATCAGCCGGCCGGCGAGTGGCAACATTGTGCACTCCGTTTCGGTCATGTTCGGAACGAGAAACAGAAACTTCGAAATCGAACTTTATGGTCGACCCACTTTTTGGTTGTTGTTGCAAGCGGATTAAGGTCGAAAGCGGGGGAAATGCTGCGCGTTTCCCTCCGTTTCTTTTTTTTTTTTGTGTGTGTGTGTGTGTTTTTTTTGTTGGCATCGTCCGCGCTAACCGACTGACCAATGAAAAGACGTCAGTCTCAGTGCGGTGCGTGTGTGTCTTCTGTCCTGCGTTCCCATCTTGTTCGATGTATTCGGGACTCTTGCCGTATCCGTGTTGGAAGTCGACCTACCTTCTCCCAAGCTCTGATTCCCTGACCGGCTGTGTGCCCTCCTCAAAAATTGTTTTGCCGCATGTGTGGTGTCTGGGGTGGTGCTGGTGTCGTATCAGGTGAGCACCGAGCAGGAGAAAGAGGCTGGCATGGTTAGCGTGGACAACGACATGCGGCGCGACGACTCTGTTCCGATGTGCCTCAAGGGCTTCGACGAGAAGGGGCTGTTCGGCGACGCGAGTGGAGACGTCGTGTTCGAGGCTGGCCAGGTGGGTGAAATTGGCTAATGCTGCTCTTGTTGTTGTTGTCGTTGTCGTTGTCGTTGTTGTTGGTGTTGTTGCCATTGTTGGTGTTGGTGTCGGTGCGGTTTTGATTGTCGTTGTTGTGGTTGACATAACTTGCCTCTCGCACTGTCAAGGGCTGGTGGATGGTGGCGTCATGTGTGTGCCCTATACAACAACCGTTTGCGACGAGCAGCCCGCATCCTCCTTCTCCTCCCCCTTGAGGAAGATTGCATGAAAAGGTAGCACCGGACGATGAGCAGGCGTGCAACACCTCTCTGTCTATCCTTTTTTTTTCGGTACTTTCTCCAATTTTTATTCGCTTTTACGTCCGCTGACACCTTGTGTTTTTGCTTTTACCGCTGTGCGTGTGTCGTGTCTTGCGCTGCGAATTCCTGTTGGTATAACGTCTACCAGGAGGACGGCTCTATGGCCCTCAAGCAAGAGTTCATGCACAAGTTCCACAACATATCACGCATCATGGACTGCGTCGGCTGCGAGAAGTGCAAGGTTTGTCCGTTTCTGGGTCTTATTTTTTTTTCGTTGTTTTGTTCTCGGTATTGTTTACTTTGTTATGGTAGTCATTTTTTATTTTTTTATTTTTCACGTCTTATTTTTACTTTTTTCATTCCTGGTTCTCCAGTTTCATCACACCGCACCCTGCCTATATCCTAACCTGTTTCAAAATCGGGGGGAGGGGGGGAGGGGAGTGGGGGTCTCGTCGCATGACTATCTTTTCGGGGCGGGGGGTTGAGAGCACACTCTGGTTAAATGGTGTGCTGGTTCGTTCTGCCCTCTTTTTGCCCTGAGTGGTGGCCAGGAAGTTCTCCTGGTGTTTTTCCTTTCATATTCAACCGAGACCCTTCGCATGTCTCCATCCCTTGTCCCGCACACTGCCATCATGACTATTGTGGTACCCCCCACCCCTTGTGTACGTTTGCCGACAAGAAAAATATAACGTACTGCAGTCATTACCCCTCCCTGAATGCCTGCCGCTGCTGTTTTTCGTAACTTGGGGACACGATCCGCTCCCTCCCTTTTACACGCAACAAACTTGGTTGCAATGTGCTTTTTGGCCGTCTGATGGTATGTTTTTCTGCCGTCTGAAACAGCTGTGGGGCAAGCTGGAGACTCTCGGTCTCGGAACGGCACTGAAGATCATGCTCTTCTCGTCTGACGTGGAGGGCAAGCAAGACCTCAAGTCTCTCAGCAGGAACGAGCTGATCGCCCTGGTGAACACGGCGGCGCAACTGGCCAAGAGCGTCGGAAGCGTCCCGGGGTGGAGATGGTTGGGTGANGGGGGGGGGGGGGGGGGGGGGGGGGGGGGGGGGGGGGGGGGGGGGGGGGGGGGGGGGGGGGGGGGGGGGGGGGGGGGGGGGGCGAGGGAAAGAGACAAGAGACAATGACGGAGACACATAGACAAGCAGACAGGCAGGGAGGGCAAGATGGCGAGAGACAGAGACAGAGGCACAGGGAGAGATATGGGTCGGGAGAAGAGATAGGAACACGCAGAAGGAAATAGGGAGAGATAGCAGGGCAGATGCACGAGTGATTGAGGCGCTGCTTCTACCGCTATGTGAAGCAGTTGCAATAGCCCCATGCGCAGTAGCGGAACGCTATCCTTGGTCGCTTCTTTCATTAGATGAGACTTGTCTGGATAGATGTGAGAAAAGAGAGCAGGAAAGAAGAGCTAGCTACTGGTTGCTGTTTCTTACAGACCCGAAGGTTTGTTTTTTTTGGCCGAGTGGTATGTACAACAACGTGCGAAGATCTCAAAACTTTTTTCCGCTGTTCCCCGCCTTCCTATCGTCGGCGCCCGNGGGGGGGGGGGGGGGGGGGGGGGGTGGAATGCAGAGGTGAAGCAAAAGGGTGCGCAGGTGGGGAAAAGAGCGGCGCTCGCCACGATACTCGCGCTGGCGGCGCTGGGCGGCGGCGCCTACCTGCTCCGCAAGCGTGCCGCCGCTGGTGGCGGCGAGAGCAGCAGCAGCGGGGGCGAGGGGGGAGGGGCAGGGACAGGTATTTCACAACCGTCTTGAGACAGGGGACCAACCCCTGGTTTATGTTTTGGTTGTTTACTCCTGGCAGTTTTTTTTTTTCTTGCTGGAGATTAGACGCCATCTTTGTTGCGCGCGTACGAGGAAACAACCTCGACGACGTCAGCGTAGAGCATGCTGCTGGACTATATAGCGTTTGGGGTATGAATGAAGACACATGAAAATCACCGCTTGCACTCCGTCAACTTCCTGCACAGAACATTGACGCGTCACCACTGTTTGCACGCAAGCTTTCCCGCCGGGTGAAGAGTCGCATCGCAACCCTGATGATTTTAGAGTTTTTGCGGCGGAAGCAAATAGGCGTGTGTGTTGCGCCACGGTGAACCGCGGGCATGTGTTATTTTTTTTGTTGATGACTTTTGGTTTCGTTTTTGTCAATGGCGTGCGTACCTGCAATATTCCTACCCATGCGTTTTTTCTTTTTCAACGTTATTTATTTGCACCCTCGTGGCAGTAGCTGTACTGGGACAGGAAGTGGGTTGAAAGGCGCGGAGTGATGTCGATAGGATACCGTATGTGACACGAGATAACACATACCGTGGACCGATTGTCAAAGCGCGATTTTTCAACAGCAGCAACGGTCGCGGAGCCGAAAACGGCGGCTTTGAAGCCGTCTGGTCGAGAGCTCTCTCATAACGTATCCTTTCGTCTATGCATCCTCTTGGTCGTGGAGTAATCGAGCTCTGAAAGTCGCTCCAGGGGGTGTTTTTATCTTGTGTCATACTCGGTATACGAGCTCTGAGAATTGGTCCAGGGGGATGTGTTATCTTGTGTCATTTACGGTAGCTAGGCTAGGGAAAACGTTTTCGAGCCACCTTTGGCGAAGTAGGAAGGAACGATTGGCCATCGGTGATCGGTCCTGTGCGAACAATGCTCAATCCTCTCGAGAACGCGTGGTCAATGGTCTAACCGGTAAGGCATGCGAAACATAAGAGCGCCTATCTCATGAGCACAACATATTCGAAATCGCAAGGTGTTCTCATCCATTGTTTACTCCAGTGCTCCCCCCTCCTCGTCTTCACGGATTGGCATGCGAGGGCCTATCGTCATAGGGCCACAAGCTGTTATATGGCTAAAAATGTTGATTTTCGGGAATCCACCCCGGCAACCCTGTCCTCCTCCTCCTCCCTAACCCCCCCCCCCCCCCCC